AAATTACTTTGAATGTGGTTGGGTCACAGGGCAAATTTCATTGAGACTTAGTGACTTCAACTTCCTCTCCTTCATCAGGTTTCAAAGACTCCTGTCCAACATTTCAAAGGCCAGACAAGAGAGGTCATGGAACCTGAAATGGTCCATGAATCTCACATGCTCCTTCTAACATGGCCACTTCCTTTTGAATGATGTGATCTTCACTCTTTTTGTGGATTTTTATTGCCACCGTCTGGGCTGGAATTAAGTTGAGACACTTGGTGACTCACTGTTTAAGTCCATTATCAGGCAGCAGGTAGTAGCACTGTGGAGTACATCACGCTTCTGTACCTGAAATGGTGCAGGCACTTTCTCCTTCCTTGTCCTTTTCATTTGCACCATTTGACGTTGACGTTGTGGTAAATATCTTTGCTGGAAAATGTTTCCAAATACTTTACAAAAATGGTATTCACTTGTCTTCTTACTCTGAAGGTAACCAGAATGTAACTGACCAGATTTAGATTCTGGTCTTAATATGTGGAGTTCTCTGAAATCATTCTGATATCATAATTCATTCCGCATCCTTCAGAAGACGTGGTCCACGGAGGTGTGGCTCCACGAAGGGGCCACACCTACAGAGAATTTTCACTTTGCGTCACCAGCTGTTGAACTGAGCTGAAACCCAATACTTACATTTAAAAGAAGTGTAATCCTCAGGCTCTCTGTCAATGTTGTTTGCTGTCATTACTGGCAAGCAATGAATCTTGAGATAGCTTTGGCCACGAACCACCTGTTGGATCCTCTGTTGCCCAGGAAAAGAAGGACAAATTTCTCGGCCACATTTGAGGAAGCCTTTGAAATGGGGCAGTCTAATCGCACTGCTGTGATGCAATCAGTTTTCAACTGCAGCCTTCGAAGGATGCAGCCCCTGAATTGGGACACAGCTTATGTGTTCCTCCTGGCTTTTTAATGCTAGGTATAGTGAAGTGAGGGTGTGGGTCATTTACTTTATATATTTTTACAGAATATATTTTTTTTAACCAATAGGTGCATTGACAGTCCAAATAGGAAGAGGGAGAAAACTACAGGGAATGGTGATTTCCTGGGTTTTCAAGTCAGCATCTAATTCAAAAGCTGTTCTCGTGTGGCACAATATTTCCTTCCTATGAACCATGCTGTTCAAAAACACCACCCAAGTCACATGCATAAGATTATGAAATTAACCATGTGGATAAGGAAATGATACAAAAATCACAAATTGATGCCTTCATTCATAATACTGTGAAAACTGACTTCTGAGGTGATGATACAAACAAGTATGATCTATTCCGTACAAATAAATTGCTTAATTTGATTCAATTCAACTCAATCCAATTCAGTTACACTCTTGAGCGAGTGTAATACAACGTGTCTATCTGTGGGTATGATGACCTCTTCCTGCTCCCATGTAACACACACAGCCCTCAGCTAACAGGCCATAAACTTAACTAGGTGTTGCTAGATCTAACTACACATGGTATTTTTCTCATCCACACCCTGTGTTCAGATCAGACCGTACGTGGTAAAGCTTATTGTGAGCAAACAAGGATAATGTCTGTTATCAGCTTCTTGTGAATGAATGAATATGATGTGTGCTTGTGTTGAGCTCAAACAGTGACCATGGGAAGAGAGAAGGTGTCTGTGATGATCTGATAAGACCTGTCTTTAAAAACCCTCTGATCGAGCCTCCGAGGAGACACTTGAGAGGTAAACTGAGACATGATGCTGCCAGTTCTGCTGCTGCTCCTGCCGGTCCTCAGTCCCGCTTTGGCCTGGATTGTAAGTGACTCTTACTTTCCTTGACTAATTCATGCAAATGTAATAAATGTCATTTATTAGGATTGCCTTTAATTATGTTTTTTTTTTCAGCCAGTGGAGGACTGGGAATCTGGCAATGTGACTGCATCAGTTGGTGAGTCAGGTCAATGTGTTTGTCATGTGTATCTGCCTGACACCACCTTCCCTGCTGACCGGGTTGAGCAAATGCAACAAGTCAGCAAGGATCTGATCCTGGAAGTGGAAATCCAAATGAACAAGGTGCAGTAGGTCTGACCAGTAGCATGATGACTGAAAACATATGTTGTGGTAAAGCATCCTCATGTTGACCTGTGTTTTCTCTCAGATGGTGAGCTATGAGGGTAAACTGGAGATCTATTTGAAAGAACTGAGCGACCTGACTGTTAGAGTGGCCATGCTGGAGAGCAGTCCTGACAGTTACATCAAACTGGACTTTGAGCTGCTCAGGATTGAGCTCAGAGAGTTCGAGGCTATTGTGTCGCAGCTCAAAGACTCCCTCAACTCCTCCTCACCCATGTTTGACAGTCTGTATACTGAGGTGAAAGAGTCATCTGTGAACGTACCTCCAAATAATATTGCTTCGGTCATGCTTAGAGTTATGGATTTCAGTTTAATTAATGTGTTTATTTCCAGATCCGCAACATGACACTCATTGTGAACCAACTGGAGACTTATGACAAGAGCAACCTGGAGGTGATCCGCATTGAGTTCGCTAAGCTGCAGAAGAAGCTGGAGGAGTGCCAGAAGGACCAGGAGTTCATCAAGCCAGATATTGGTGAGGCAGCTTGTCAGGGGATAGTGGGTAACAGTTTACACTGACAGTCATTTTCAACATTTTTCTTTTTTCTTTTTTTTTTTCAGGCAACTGCAATCACACAGGAATCATGAGCATCGGCAAACCCACGGTGGTCCAGCTCAATGCTCATTTGAATGCAGGTTACCAGTATGGCGGCTGGGGAAAAGACTCCAAACCTGTTCGAGGCTATGAGTCAATGTACTTCTTTGGTGCATACGTCAATCCCTCAGTGCATGACTTCTATTTGTACTCTGACTATGAAAAGCTGATTCTGAGGTCTGCATTCAAGCACCATGACATACCAAGCGGGTGGGAAGGTACCGGTAACAATTACATTGTTCACGGCAACACCATATATTACCAGCACAACACACCTTTCAGTATGAGCAAGCTGAATCTGACCAGTTCCACATATGACTCTAGAGTGATCCCAGCTGCTAGTACGAGGTTCTCATACAGTTACTCAGATAACCAGAACATGGACTTTGCAGCCGATGAAAACGGCTTGTGGGTAATGTACGCCTCAGAGGAGAGCAAGGGTAAAATTGTCCTAGCAAAGATAGATGAGAAATCTTTTGGCATTGCCGATGAGTTGGAAACCGGTGTGTTCAAGCAGTTGGCTGGCAATGCTTTCATGGCCTGTGGAGTCATGTACGCCACTAGGTCAGTGGATTTGAACACAGAGGAGATCTATTATGCATTCGACACTAAGACCAAGGAGGAGAAACATCTCAACATTCGCTTCCAGAAGTTCCTGGAGAAATACACCAATCTGGACTACAACCCCACAGATCAGAAGCTCTACATGTACAACGATGGCTACTATGTGTCCTATAATGTGAGGTTTAACAGAGAATGATTCCTCCTCTTTGTGATCGACAGTATTGTGATTGATACGAATGATCTGTATTTACTCTCTGTGTCACCGGAGCTCTACAAAGCTATGTACTGTCTTTTTCTGAATAAAATCAAACTGAAGCATTCAAATGACGTGACTGGCCTTGACTTTTTGTGTATGAATGATACATATGATAAGAGAAATAAGTGTACGAAGAGTTCCAGAAAACCAAATGGAACAATTAACAAAGTGTAAATTACTGAAAGTACGATCCAGTGTGTTCAATCCATTATGGCACCAATGCAAGAAAATATATGGTATGAAAAAAGAATTTAAAAAATCACCTGGTACTTTTTGGCTTCAGATTAGTCAGGTCCAGCTATAGGAAAGGTAAATGCTATTAATAATCATTGTATCTGCAGCCTTTAATAGTGCAGACACACTAATGTTTTGGCACTGCTGGAGCCTGAGGTTACAGAAACAAGACAAATACATACTGTATAGTATATAATCTAAAATAGGTGTATATTTGCCATTCGATAGTAGCTTAAAAAGGATTGACTAATGAGCTTGCACCTTATAATTACAACAGAATCAAAGGAACATATATGATGAAGTACAAAAGGTGCAAGTACAGCAGCACACAGGGATAAACAATTTTCATGTCTTTCAGTGTGAAGATCAAAATGAACTAAATTTACAGGTACTGTTCTCTGCTGCTTGTAATTGAGTTTACATACAACTTGAAAAAAAACGCTCCTGTGCTTTTCCACACATTAATATGAGCAGCATGATTCAAGAATAGGTTGCTTTGTTAGACTCGTATTCAATTTTCAGTTTTTCTCCAGGGTATAATGAAAGCTTAAGATTAATATTGAACCAATTACCCTTTAGCCCCAGCTAATGAAAACACAAGTTGACTGGAGAGACAAATCAAATATCACCACTAGCGAACATTACAGCTGTTTTCCTCTTTTGTTCCTGAGTTGAAGTAAATTAATTTAAGAAACTGTCAACAGTTTGTAAGCTTAGTGTCTTCTCAGGCCACAGTTTGGCTCTCAGCATCATAAAAGTGGGTCGACTTTATTCTTATGTTTGTGCCGTATAGGAGATAAATGCGTGTCGATAAATAAATAAAATAAAATATCCCCCTTTCACTTAAAAATACTTTCTTACATATGCCAAATCGTTTCCTTGTCATATCAGATGATTTGGAGACTCTTCACTGTTCACTGCACATATTTTCTATTAAATTAAATAAAAAATTAAAAGTTACCTTATTTTTTCAGGTTCAGGTTCATCTGTATAAGGCACAGTTACTATTTTCATGCAGAAGTTTTGGCAATGTCTAAATAAACTAAAACCTGTACGAGGTAACAACGCAATGAGAAATAAAAATGTACCAATCCCAGCACAGTGTGTACAATATGCACATCTGCACTGATCTCAAGGATGCTATAAAAACCGTGACTATGGAATCACGTCACATGGCTGAAGAAGAAGTGTAAAACCCACAGTTAACAGAGGACATCAGATGAGACAGTAATCAGACAAACCAACAGCAGAGACATAATGCCTCTGACTCTGCTGCTTTTCTTTCCCATGCTGAGCCCTGCACTGGCATGGCTTGTAAGTTCTAAATATTTTCATTGTCCTTCAGTAAATTGTATTGTATGTAATATCTGGGTAAAATAACTCTTTTTCTATTCTCTTGCAGCCAGTGGAGGATTGGGAATCAGGAAATGTAACCACATCTGGTGGAGGACTGGAGTGTGTTTGCAGTGTGTTCCTGCCTGACAGCAGCTTCCCTGCCAACCCAGTGCAACACATGCAGCAAGTTACCACAGACCTGAGGCTGGAGGTGCAAATTCAGATAAACAAGGTCAGTATGAAACACAGTATCCTCTCTGTTTTTTTTTAAAACCATTGGAATAGATTTAGAAATCTATAATGACTTTAATAGTTCAATAATGCAACATAAACAGTTTGTCATTACTACTATCTGAGAGTGAAATAGACATGACTTGACGGGATTTCTTTTAGGCATTGATAATTCAATAATAATTCCTACTAACACAGAATATTGAACTATAAAATTGGGCAAATATTTGACGCTTAGAATCATTACTAACAGACTTCCAGCAACCACGTCCATTTTTATGGACAAATTGAAGTATAAGCAAATACTGTAAATACTGTACAATGTACACCATCCATCCTATCCATCACAGATGCACCTGATGCGCAACATTTGTGTACAAAGTCATTTATACTACTCATATTAATTCCACCTTTATTTGCTCTTCCATGATCTCTTGTTTGAGGCTTTACTCTACAGCACAGAACCAACCAGAGCATAATCCTATATGTGTTACCTGTATTTATAATACTTGTCTAGAGGATTTTTGTATGTATTTGTATGTTCAAAGTTAACTGCCTGCACACACTGTAGTTACTGTGTGTTTCTGTTGGCTTATCTTATTAGTTTTGTTGTCTTATTTGGGTGTCTGTATATTAAGTCAAGTTCCTTTTATGTCTTTCAGCTTGTCCACTATGAGGGCAAACTGGATATCTTCCTTGCAGAACTGAAGGACCTGACTGTTAGAGTGGCTATGCTGGAGAGCAGTCCTGACAGTTACATCAAACTGGACTTTGAGCTGCTCAGGATTGAGCTCAGAGAGTTTGAGGCTTTGGTGTCTCAGCTCAAAGACTCCCTGAACTCCTCCTCGCCTATGCTGGATAGTCTGTATACTGAGGTGAAAAGGCAAATTAAAGACTAAGCTTCACTATTCTGAGATTTTATTGGCTATGTGGTAACTATTGTGGTGTCCATTTGTGCCAGATTCACAACATGACGATCATTGTAAACCAACTGGAGACGTTTGATAAAAACAACCTGGAAGTGATCCGCATTGAGTTCGCAAAGCTGCAGAGGAAACTAGAGGAGTGCCAGAAAGAGCAGGAGTTGATCAAGCCAGATATTGGTAAGTCCATTAATTAGTTATCTGCAGCAGCTGGCCAGCAGGTTGCATGTGGCGTAGAGGTAATTATGCTTTTTAATTCCTTTTCTTTTCAGGCAACTGCAATCACACAGGAATCGTGAGCATCAGCAAGCCGACAGTCATCCAGCTGAATGCTCATTTGAACCCAGGTTACCAGTACGGCGGCTGGGGGAAAGACTCCAAACCTGTTCGAGGTCATGAGTCAATGCACTGGTATGGAGCATACAGCAGGCCCTCTGTGTATGAATTCTACCTGTACTCTAATTATGACAAACTCATTCAGAGGTCCTCATTCACACACCACGGTCTGCCACAAGGCTATGAAGGCACCGGTAATAATTATGTCGTTCATGGTAACACCATATATTACCAGGCTGCTAATCCATTCAGAATGTCCAAATTAAATCTGACCTCCTCTGTTTATAGTCACAGACAAATCACAAAGGCAAGTGAGAGATTCACCTACACCTATTCACCGAACCAGTACCTAGACTTTTCAGCTGATGAGAAAGGATTGTGGGTAATGTATGCCACAGAGGAGGCCATGGGTAAAATTGTGATTGCTAAGATAGATGAGAAATCATTTGGTATTGAGGATGAGTGGACCACAAGTGCGTTCAAACCTCTAGCAGGGAATGCTTTCATGGTGTGCGGAGTTATGTATGCCACCAGGCCGGGAGATCTGAACACAGAGGAAATCTACTACTCTTATGACACTAAGACCGGGGAGGAGAAACACATGAGTATCCCCCTGCAGAAATTCCAGGAGAGGTTTGTCAACCTGCACTACAACCCCACTGATCAGAGGCTTTACATGTACAACGATGGCTACTATGTGTCTTATAATGTGAGGTTTAACAGAAAATGAATTGTCCTGTTCTTGATCTGCTGTATTGTGATTGATGCAAATGATCTTTCTTTACTGACTTTCTTTAACATTTGTGATCTATCTGTGCGATGCACAGAAACTACACTTTTTATTTCTGGAATAAAATCGAAACTGAGCATTTCAATGAGTCTCCTGTAGTCTTTAATTTCAAACATTTAAGAAAGAAAGTGTAAAGTAAAACTCTCCCTTTCTGCTTTTTGGGCATGGTTGCAGCATCTGATACATCTTGCTCCCCTCCCCTCCTACTCTCTTGCTCCGTGCTGGAGCTCCCTCCCCCCTCTGTAACCCAGTCCTCCCTTGGGGTGGGGACTACTCTCCTTTGTGCTGTGGTTGGAGCCTGGCTCCATCTGGTACTGAGCTCCAAGACCGAGCAGATTATGGTTTCTGTGCAGGGTGATCCCTCCATTCATAGTGGATGGGAGACATCAAAGAAATGCAGTAATGCATAATAATGTTACAAACTGATTGTTTTTCTTGTGGGATTTTGTCAACAGTTGACAACAAAAGCTGAACAAAGCCCATTTTAGAAGTACAAGTCAGGGTTGAAAATGGCCTTCAGTCAGTGCACACAAAAACAGCACTGTCTCTTTAAACCGGCCAGCATCTGTCAGGATGAGAGGGGGGAAGTGAGCGCCTTGTGTGAAATGGTACCCTGAAGTGACATCATGCTCAGCCAATCGGCAGCCTCGCCTGAGCTCTCTCCTCCCTCTCCTGCTCCTGGGATGAGCTGTGTTGAGGCTGCTGAAGACATGAGCTTCTGCTGCTGATGCTGATGCTGGGGCGGAGGGTCCAGGGCATGCTCGCTTCACATCAGGTGCAGTGTGTGTATCTGTATCATGTACGCCTGTTTTCTGTTGTATTTGTGCATTTATTTTGTACGGTGGATTGCTTATCCAGCGGCTATGGAAAGTGAATGGTGAGAGGATGATGGATGATAATGGAGGAGACTGAAGATGGCTTTGTGTGTTTCATAACACTCCTTAGATGATGTCGCCTCCATGACTGTAACCAGAATGGGGTGTGTATGTGTGTATGTGTGTGATGTTTGTGTTTCATTCTGCAGCTCAATTTAAGGGGCAAGGAACACTGTGTTTTTACATCAATGGTGGATTTTGTGACAGCTTTAGCCTCTGCTGCATGACTGCTCATACATTTTGTTTCATGTGACAAAGAATTATTGCATAATAGTAAAGATTTTAAACATTCTTGTCAGCAGAGAATTTATTTGGAAATAATCCATTTCATGTGATTTGTGTGAGTGTGTGGGTGGATGCCTAAAACCACATCAGTGTGTCTACAGACCGGCATACACAAACACATGGTTTTTGTTGCATTTATTATTGGACTAATATACTGAAAGTGGGTCGTCAACACCTTCTCTGGTGTTATCTTTAGGTCTTAATCATCCTGTGGGGATAAATGACTATGTAATTATCCACAGACACGCAACAATGTGCTTCAGTGTTCTGAGTCATCTCTCTGTCGTCTTGGACGTCCGCTTTCTTTCCATTCATCAGAAATAGTAGGCACACACTTGTACTCACTTCCTGTACTGGTCTGGAGGTTAACTCTTTGTTTCCGCTGCCTCAGATGATCATGCTGTGCTGCAAAGACGTAAGCCGTGGAGTCACTGGGGGCACACGCACACTGAGCCCAGTGACAACAGACAGAGATGTATCCTGTTGTTGATCAGACCAGGGGGCAAAGGTGAGTCACAAGTTAAACAATTACAATCATTGAGAGCCGAACAGCCGCTGTATGATTCACTTAGAAGAGCTTAAGATTCAGTTTCTTTAAGGAAACAACGTGTATATAACTCAACTATCTGCCACGTGTTAATTAAGCTCAACTAAATCCGCAATACATTTTTATGCAGTGCTCAGGCCCAGCTGGACCCTGACAGGTCCCGAACAAGGCAGCAATGGCAAAGAGAGATTACCTGGTGGAGGCGGCCAAGCAGATCCGCATGGCACTGGACAGCGAGGTCAATGAAGATTATGAGGCAGCTTTCAGTTACTATAAGAATGGTGTGGACTTACTGCTGAATGGGGTTCAGTGTAAGTGGACAGCATTCATTTTTTTTTCCCCATAAGTTTTTATGACTGTGTGACAGTGAATGAGGAATTGGAAGAGTTGTGTTTGTGCAAGACATGTGATGGGAACATGGGGACAAGAATAAAAACAGGAAGTCAAAAAACAGAGGTTAAACACAGATTTCCTTGCTGGCCTGCTCCTCACAGTGTCAATAGCCAACTAGCTGTGTGTGTTACTGTTTTACATCCCAGATAAAAGGCCAAGAGGTTAAGTCAGGACTGGGCTTTGTCTGTTAGATCTGTTCTGTTCACACAGCTGGTGCTTGACAGAGTGTATCTGTCTAACAGTGGACCCTAACAAAGATCGCCGGGAGGCTGTGAAGAGGAAGACGACCCAGTATCTGAAGAGAGCTGAAGAAATCTTCATCACACATCTGCAGGATAACCTAGGGAAGGGGAGCTCTCACTTAGGGGTAAGACCATCACCCTGAGCGATCATTTTACAAGAAGATGCTTTTATTGACTGCCTTAAAAGATTTGCTTTAAATGTGTGGCGTGAATAATTTCATGGGATTAAAGCATTCTCCACAGAATAGTGCAATAAAATGTCAGCTTCCCTAGCCTGCACTCTGTTGAAGAACACAAAAGGCCACCTCCTGTGTTACTTCTCACATTAGGTGTTCGTACGTTAGATCTAAGGCTGTCTGGAGCCTTATTCATCTCAAATATTGTGAAACGAAATGCAGTTCTTGGTTGTAATGTGCTTTATTGTCCCAAAGGTAATATCTTCTGTCGCTTTCATCACCAGGGTTACAGCAGTCTGAGATTCCGTCCAATCAGACACTTGAGTTCACCCGTGGAGGATCTGGAGATGTGTAAGGTGGTTGGAGTGACTGATAAGGTAAGACAGACCTTTTTTTGTACTCTAACACCTCCTACCTCCGTGTTTCAGAATCAGGGATGGTTTTGCGTATCGACACTCCTTGTTGAAATGATGAAACTGTACATGATCAGCACTGACCGCAAAATCACACTGTAGTAATTTATCTGCTTTGCAATGGTAGCCTAAAAATATTATGATATATACACTTTTTTTTTTTTTAACCCAAAGGTCCTGATTGTCCAGAGTATGGTCAATAAGGAGACATTTGTCGTAAAGGTGAGTATTCGGTCTTCCTCCAGGGCCACCGCACAGGAGAAAATAAGAACTCCAGACTACAAAATTATTGCACATTTAAATTAAACACAGCTCCATTGGCAGAGACCTATCCACTCATAGTGGAGATGTTTTGGGGGTTGTGTCATCTGGCAGCAATCCAGTCTTTTTGAATTCTGTGGCAGGCCAGTCGATAGGAGCTCTCTCCATCCTGTCTCCCTGAGTATCATCCAGCATTGATCTGCCTGAGAGCTCTCACCCTTTTAGTCAGTGCAACTGCACCTCAAATTTCAGTCACCAGAGAGACCTGGTAACAGAAAGACACTAATCTCTTACAGGGGCAATCCAAGCAGCATTGAGCCCATAGTGATACACTTCTTTCCTACATTGATGCATATATCTTCCCCTTTATAAAAGTAGTACATATTTCCCTTTCTGAAAAAATCATTACATGGATGTGTTCTTGCAGAGTCTGGTCAAGTCAAGCTGGGAGAGCAGGGACCAGCCAACCATTATTCCTCAGGGGGTGCCATACATGGTTAAGTTGCTAAGATATTACGTCAGCGAGGATGCTGTGTACCTACATCTTGAGCATGTCAAAGGTGAGCTGTTAACAGCTGCTGTGCTCTCACAGCTGCAGAGACCATATAAGGTGACCTATGAGGTCCAAATGTGTATCACTATATTGTAGCAGTAGCAATAATTCCTATTCTTGGTCTTGTTTTACTACTCCTATCATCCCAGGTGGGAGGCTCTTCTCCAAGCTGCACAAGCTGAGGAATGAGAAAGCCAAGGAACACCCAGAATGCTTCAGCTCTGGCCAGCGCAGCATCAAGCTGAAGACCAGCTACACCTCTCCCACAATCAGCACAGACTACCAGCACATCAACAGAGGAAGCACAGCGGTGATTCCTGAGAAATTAACTGATGAGAGCCCAGATACGGACTTCCTCACTTCATGGGATGAGACTCAGCAGCGTCTGGAGAGCTGCGGGACTCACTCCTACATCGAGGAGACAGGTTGTCTGCAGAACACACGCTCGGCAGCATCATTTTATACCAAGCTTGATCGTCTAAGTCTGTATTCTGGCCCGTCGAGGACACAGGTCAACACCCGCATCCATCCACCAGCTCCTAGTTTGTGTTTCCTCTCCAATGAAACTCAGGAAAAGCCTGCTCTTCCTCTTTCTTGCACTCGTGTCAGTCAAGCTCTTGACGTCATGTCAGAAATCCATAAAAAGCAAGCTGGAATGGGACTGATAGAGTGTAGCTCAGAGTTTGAAGTGGCTTGGAAAGCTGCAGATCCAGCACACAACTGTGAGAAAACGAACCCCTATGCAGTGACTGACAGTGTTGTTCATAGCACGCTCGGGCAAACTGCACCTCATACAAATCAGACCTCATTTCTGAACGCAGGACCGCCAAACAGTGAAAATAATAGTTTGAGTTCTTCCCCTGCCATTTTGCATCTTCCTCTCCATTGCCAAACCCAGATCCGTGGCAGGGCACCATGGGATACCAATGGCCCCAGTCAAGGATCTGTTTTAAGTGGTAACTCTGCAGACACAGTTACAGACTCAAAGCAAGACAGCAGCAGCCCCACCATAGAGGAAAGAAATGGTATGGTAGTTATCAGGAGCACAGACAGAGCTGTATTCTCTGACCACACAGACACAAAAATGACCTCAGAAAGCTCCTGGCCTTCTTTGTCAGGGGTCCCCCTGTCCCTCTTAGGGGTGAAATACAAAGGGGAAACATGTTCCAGTGAGGCAAGAGAGGGAGTAGAGGAAGCCTACGAATTGCTGAGTCCTAGGGAAAAGGTAGCACCTGGAAAAGTGGGCTGGTTCTCTTCTGTCCCTCCTGGAGCCCCATCCTACAGGAGGGGAGAGGATAAGGATGCTTTCTTTAAAACACAAGAATCAGAGGGGCAGGGAGAAGACCAGATCATTGAGGTGGATGGCTGGTGCCACCTGCCTCGGTTCCCCGTCAAGTCCTCCAGGCCTACAGATAAGGCCATGCAGACATGCTGGGGGCTTCCTGAGGCAGAGGTGTGCGTCTGGGGGGCACAGATCCTGTTGGCCCTGGAGAGTCTGCATCAGCAAGGCATCCTGTGTCGGGATCTCAACCCTAGGAATGTTCTGCTCACCAGCAACGGTGAGTCCATCAAATAACTATAAAAGACGGCATTAGGAAAAGTGCAAAACTTTTGATTTTTTATCAAAAAGCAATGTTTTCACAGGAAAGGTGTGTCTGACGTTTTTCGGTCAGTGGAGTGAGGTTCAGTCAGAGATAAGCTCCAAAGCCATGGAGCAGATGTACTGTGCTCCAGGTAAGACTGTGCATTACTGTAAGCTCACATCAGTGGTTGTTCCTTAGTGTAACCTGCCACCTAGTGGCAAGATGCAGTTTGTCCACTTTATTCAGAGTAAGAGGTCAAGTGCTGCACATTGCATTGGAATACAAAGACATACTGTAATAACAAACACATTGTCAAGAAATGTGCATGAATACAACTAAACTCAGCTTTTTGTTTGTTGACAGAAATCGGTGGGGTGTCCAGGGTTACAGAGGCTTGTGATTGGTGGAGTCTTGGGGCCTTGCTGTTTGAACTTCTAACAGGAATGGTAAGTAAAAAGCTCTACAAGCATGCTCAACCTTGCAGAGCAGCTACTCCTGCAAACTGTAATGTTGGGTTATGGCTTCTCACGCACTGTGTTCGCTGTGCCTCCAGCCACTGTGGCAGCTCCACCCAGCAGGAATCCACTCTCACACTCAACTGCTCATCCCCGACCACCTGAGCGCTGCAGCGGCATCTCTGCTCACGGAGGTTAGGTTTAAGGCCTGAAACACCCACAAGGAAAACAAACACACACACACTGAATGATTTAATGTTGTCTTACAGTATCTCCACTCTCCACTATGCTGCTCCACAGTTGCTTCAGTTCGACGCCGGCTATCGCTTGGGTTCTGGAGGTGGAGGTGTGAGTGACATCAAGTGCCATCCCTTCTTCAGTAGCATCTCCTGGAAAGCTCTGAGCTGCTAGCAGGTGTGGTCGCTGCACCTCTGATTCCTCTGTACTCGTCTGGAAGGGAAAATGAACACTCTTTAATCCAAGCATCCTTGGGTGGCCAAATTGGATGCAGCACCAGACCCTGCTTTCCTTTGCATTTTGTGCTTCCCAAAGAAAAATGACACAATAAAAACTGAAACATGAACAAAACTGGTCAACAATGGATAAATGGATTTATTATTTTAACTTCTGAGACTCTAGCATCCTGTTGTGTGAATGTAAGGTACCCCTGATGCAATTTTGATACATACAGTACATTTATAGTACTTTATATACATATATATATATATATATATATATATATGTACACATAGATATGCATGAAAACTGATGCCATTCAACCATAAATTCCGATTAAGATTTTGGACTGCCTGCCATCATTGTGGAAAAAGTGAGGATATTGGGCAATAAATTGTTACCTCGTCTTTGTATATCTCTGAAATTTTCACTGTTAAAGCCTGTCATTATTGATGATTATGCTATATATGGTCCTAAAGAGGACTGAGACATGAAGGCCATTTGAATTGCTGAAGATGAAGGGTTAACACTTACACATACAAAATTACTAACAACTATGGACAGCGGGCAATGAGCACATCTGTCCAAAAGCTAATCAAAGAAACCTGCATAAGAGAAATCAGAATCAATTTTGTGGCGATATATTCTGTATCTTGTAAGAGGATGAACCACCCTTTAAAAAATGTATGCCCTGGTTCTTGTAAATTTTACTACCCACAGTGTCAATGTTAGCACACAAAAAAAAATCCAAGACAAAAACTTACGGTTGAGTAATGCAGCTTTTATTGTTTAAAACTTTCATTTTCTTAAATAGTCTTTCTTACACAGCATAAAGAGATTTTTCCTCATTTGTGTGAAACAGATGGTATAAATTCTCAAGAGGATTTCTTCACTTTGGACATTTTACAACATAGTGTTTCTTGGTTTCTAGCCCAAAACGTGTTCATTGTTCTTCTCTCAACCAAAATAATGAAATGATACTATGCAGTTTTATCTATATTTGTCATTCATCTCACAACAGGGTGAAATTTTTTTTTTTTTTAGTTGTATGTAGAAAATGACATATGGCGCACAAGTTATAGAATATCCTTTTTTTTTTGATCTAGAGACCAGCACCACAGAAGCCCCTGAAACCCCCTGAAACTTATCCACAACAGCACCAAACCTTTTATCACTGCCAGTCTTACGAATGTCCATTGCACAACCCAACTGTCAAGTTAACCAATACAACAATACATCAACTGCAGTTAACGGTAATGTTCATCAGGTGAGTACAGCCACTGTTTGTGTAGGGTGGTTTGTTTGGTTGGGCCTGGAGTTCACAAGGGTTCACATGTCGAGGAGCAGCACCCTGGGGTCCTCCACCACTGACTTGATCTTGCGCAGGAAAGTGACGGCCTCTCTTCCATCAATCAGACGATGATCGTACGTCAGGGCAACGTACATCATTGGACGGATCTCCACCTAAACACAGGAAAATCACTCAGACCACATCCTTATACACCAAGCGGTGAAAGAGACGATGAAGGTATAATTAAGCTGATTGAACTGATAGATTTGATACGCATCTAGTGAATTACTGAATCGACAATAAATTAATCAGCAACTATCTTGATAATTGATTGTTTTTCTCATTTTACCAGCAATGGTAAAAATTCACTAGTTCTCCCTCCTCTATTGTGATGATTTACTGCTTTTCTGTTTTATATCACTGCAGATGGAATATCTTTGGCTTTTGGGCTGATGATCAGACTAAACAAGCAAGATGTCATCTTGTGCTCTGAGAAATCATGTTGGGCATTTTTTAACATTTGACATTTTCTACATTAAATGATTAATCGAGACTATAACTGGCAGATTAATGGATAATGAATGTAAAATTGCAGCCCTAATCTATTGTTCACATCTCTGTAAACCTTATTATCCTGCATCAGTGAGATTATACAGTGTATAGTTGACACTGGTCAGCGAGAAAGTCACAGGCATAAGACTCCTTAATGTGTTCAGCTAGCTTCAGTCAGAATAAGTAGGTCAGAATTATTAGTGAGAATGTGTCTGACTTTCACTGGGTGTGGCTTATGAATGACATATGAGTCACTGCATGTAAGACTACAAAAACTCACAGCAGTGAAATTTGACTTTATCTGGGAAAGACAGCTGTAATATCAATGATAGATTTATCAAACCAAGCCCATTTTAACAAAACAGCAAATTTATCAACCGAATCAATCTACTGAAGTTATTTAATTCATTCAATTAATTTCTACCATTCATTTTGCATATGTGACTATTCTACTGCTATATGCATTTTCTGTTTTTGTACACCATTATGTATTTGCGTGTTTAACACTGAGGAAACGAACCTTTCCACCAACTGCAACAGGCCTGTCAAAGATGCCATGCATGCCTAAAATAGCAGACTGTGGCGGGTTGATAATCGGTGTGCCGAACATGGACCCAAACACGCCACCGTTGCTGATGGTGAAGGTTCCTCCATCCATGTCCTCAACAGCCAGCTCATTCTTACGGGCCTACAAACACACATCCACAATTACTACAAATCACGTAATAAGGAAAACAAGATAAGAACATCTGGCAAAAAGTGAAAAAAAAAAAAAAAAAGAATAACTATGACAAACCAAGAATGTTAAATAATATTTAATATAAATCATCACCTTTTCTCCCAACAGATTGATGGCTTTCTCAATGTCTGCGAAATTCATTCCCTCTACGTTTCGGATTACAGGAACCACCAGACCCTGAGAGAGAAGTCACATGACTGAATTTTCTGCCCTTCACATTAGAGACAAGTGGGCTATCAAGCACTTACACTCAGTGTTACAATATAATCCACTTGTCTTACCTTTGGCGTGGCCACAGCCACACTGATGTCGACGTAGTCCCTGTACACAATCTCTTTGGTTGTGTCATCGATTACTGACAACAGAAAAAGAGCATTAATACTGTGCACACAAAAATACATACAGATTAAAACTGTTAATCATCATCTAATTTCCAACCATGATTAATTTCCTTTTCTCATGTGCCATTTCTGTAACATGCAAGTTAAAAGGAACGTGAAACCAACAAGACACTTTTAGATTTTTAAAAGCCAGCAATACAGACCACCTCTGCTTCATTGTGGTATCTCTAAATAGGTCAGGGTGGTATAAAGGCAGTAAATAAGTTAGTGTTGGTTTTGAGGTTTGGCAGTGAAAGATACTGAAACTTAAATCTTGTTCTTCACCACACACACTTGCAGTGACTTGATACTGAACGTGCAAAGACACAGTCAAACAGATACCACAAAGCGAGTTCTTTTAACCCATACCAGCATTGACAGCAGGCTGGTCGGACAGCGCGTAGGCAGCAGCCTTCACAAATGCAGACATGAAGCCCAACTTGATGTTATGCTTTTTCAGGAAGGCATCTTTGTAAGCTTTCCTCATCTCTGAGATGTTGCTGCAGGGAAATAGAAAAAAAAAATGCACAGATAAACTAACAATTTAGTATTAAGGTATAGACAAAGTTTAAGCCTATGGGATAGTAAACCTACTAGGAAACTAGGATTCTAAGAGAAAAAAAAAAAAGACTGGACAGATTTGGGGATTTGAACACACATTCATGCAAAACATGGAAATATAGTGGTATAGTGGTTTTTATTTAACATTAACCCTTTGTTGTTGTTTTTTTAATTAATTCTATATTTCAGTTAAGAGGTTGCCTATCATAGCTGTGGCTCTCATTCAATAACCTTCTGCAGGTTTAATGGTTCGTTGCTATAAGTGCAACAAACAGTGCACAATCCACGGCTCGTGCTAAAAGGTACACATAACTCTAAGTTATGTGTACCTTATTAGCTCTAAAACACTAGAATCATTACTAAGATATACCAAAATTGTAATGATGTTATAAAAGATGGATGTTATAAAATCTGACAAAAACATGAATGCTTTTTGATGGCTATAAAAGAATGCTTTTGCAGATCATGGTGAATTAAAGCTATTGAAATTGGCCTGCTAATTGTTTCACCATTGCTCATTTTTCTCTTGTATCTCTCTTTTTAATTGTTTGTTTTCCTGTCTCTAACCCTGTTGAAGCTCTAGGATTTCTCCGCTAACATAATTAGCCCCTCCCAAGACACAGACTCTCCGAGAAAGGAGAGAAGAAGCGATAAAAATCTTCACTTTCTAGAGCCTGTAAATCTTATTGGGCTGTCATAAAAGCCCATATCGGTTGAGGCAGCTCTTTCACTCAGAGCGCAGGTCTCTGCGGGCCCCTGCAGATGCTCCGGCCTCCTGCTCTGACTAGCTCCTTCGGCTCCAGATGAGCCCTAGCCTGGGAAGTCTTCCTCCAGACCGTCAATGTCAATCCAATTAGGATACATAGAAAACCCTGAATAGCCGAAAGCTGACACCACACATTTGCGGGGAAAAGAAATCCTCAAAGTGTCCTCTTCAGCACAGGGGGCAAGTGCAGACAATAACATTTCCTTGTAAATTAATAAAACCTGTTTTAACAATTCTTATCTTCGTTTTAGATGGCATTACGACCAAATATTTACATTCCAGTGTTTAAGAGGATATTGGGTTTCAAAAAGCTTTTCCTATTGGGCAGATTCCAATCTATAACCATTTGTGCAAGTGTTGTTTTGGCTTTTAACGCAGATATGTATACAGTGTGTATAATGTATATGTACTGTGCTGGTATTGCATGAGAATGCAAACTAACAAACATGTTTGGTCAGATTTGGTCTCCTACACTCTAAAAAGTCTGAGCGAGCGCTTAATAATATAGGTCAACCAATTTAGAATTTCCTACCTCATGTCGACCTCATTAAAAGTAGTCAACATAGCGCAGGTGTTTTGGGCTTCCTTCAGTCTCTGGGCAATTCTTAGTCTCATGCGATTCATCTTAACCTAAAATCATAGAAACGATACAGAAAATTCAGTCAACAGCTACCAGCTCTTACTAGATTATTAAACGAATAAAAAAGTCATCAGGACGCCAAAAATATTTTTAGGTGTTCTGGGGATTTTTACACTTTACCCTGCTCTCTGTCCTGGCTCCTTTAGCTCCACCCTCTGCTTGGGCCACTGGTGCAGCTGGAGCAGCTGTGGGCTTGATGGCTGAAACTACACAAAAAACATAAAGAAGCAGTTAATATCTCTAGACATCAGTTTAGTGGAACTGGTAAAGGCCACTCTCTACAGAAAGCCAAACAATGATTAATCATGTAAGCTCGAGGTCAAGAGCACAGATGTCAAGCAAAACAGTTCTCACATGACACACGCCGTCTGTCTGATGACAACTAACCTGGTTTGGTGTCCATAGCATGTGCTGGCACAGGTGGCACAGGGGGCATAGTGGTGGGAATGGGGCCCACAGCTGAGGGGGGAGGAGGGGGAGGAGGGGCAGCAGAAGGTGGTGGAGGGGCTTCAGCGGCCGGGGCCTCAGCTTTTGGAGGTTCTGCAGCTTTGGGAGCACCGGCTGAAGATACAGAAGTGAACGGTTACAACAATGCAGGCTTAAAAGTATCATCTTAATGACACTATTTGATGTTAACCTTGTCACATTGTCAGTAAAACTCCAGTATTACAGACCTCCTTTTCTAAGCTTGAAGAGAGGAGTTCCTCCCTCGACCTTGCCTCCATCCGGGATCAAAAGCTCCTCAATCACTCCAGCAGCAGGAGAGGGAACCTGCACTGATGTCTAATGGCAGGGAAAAGAAAATGAATGCATACATTTATTTAAGTGTAAACAAAACTAACTTTTTGTTACAGTTTTATATGCAATTATTGACGAAGTAAAGACTAACACAACTAATTCTTTCATTCATGTTGTCCAACGTACATTGAGGGATTTCACTTTAGAAGGCAAAGCCCAACAATTACCTCCAATCACAAACACAGTTTCTTTACAACATTTATTTAGTTTTACCTTATCTGTCTCAATTTCGCACACCACCTCATCTTCCGAGACACTGTCTCCAACAGCTGTAAAAAGAAAATTTTGTTTTAGTATCTCAGTACAATATGACAACTTTCTGTTGAGGTTGGTTTTGTTGTAACCAGTGTCTGCATCAGAAGCAACTAATGTTTGTTTATTAATAAAAATTGAGTTACCTTTTTCCCACCTTACGTCACCTTCTGTGACAGATTCTGCAAATGCAGGGGTCTTGACTGTGACAACTTCATCTCCTGAAGAACAAAGACAGGTCAAAGGAAATGTATTCCTCCACACATCAGCTGTTTTGCCTCATATTCAGATAAGTGTAAAAATAAAAGGCATAAAGGGCAAAACATACGGTAGGCTACAGACGTCCTGAAGTACTGGATTTGGAAGATGCTGGACCGGGGATCAGATTTTCTGAAGATAACAGAAGAATTTAAATCAAACTATAAACAGAAATTCAAAAAGGTTATCGCATCAATTATGCTAAAAATGACTGGTTTTACGTTTGACTTGTATTTGTGGAATGACACACACTATTTCTGTTCAATCATTTAAATAAAAGGCAATTACTGGTTGTTAGGTAGAGATACTGATAACTGGAAAACACATTTATGATAGTGTATGGGTGGCAAGGTTACACCACTTTGTCAGCTGGGGCAACAAGCCAGGTACAAAAGACTGTCAAAAAAAACAAAAAAACAAAAACTAATTCATAATATCTGAAGTGTGAATGGTGTGCTTGAATTTTGACCATAAAGTTTCCTGTCTCTAAAATAATAATAGTAACGATGTTTGGAAGTGTGTACTTACACAGTGTTGTTGAAAGTGATAGAGTGGCTAGCTGATAGAGCTGGTAGAGGAAGGACAAAAGAAGACTGTAAATAACTAAATCAGAATGACAAATAAATAAATGATTGAACAGTAAGCACACACACCTGCCGTGGCCCGACGAGCTAACACATTATTCCCCTGTGAAAAGATAGAGTCAGGTATTACAAAGCATCAGTGCTGTCGGTCAAAGGTCACTTCTACGCGCTATACAATGACCTTTGACATGATCAATAAAATGATCTTGCAAACAGGTTTCTTGTGTGGTTTTGCATGAAAACTAAACCAACAAATATAAAACATGGATATTCATGCAGCTAATTTAACAGCTGCATTAAAGCTTCTAATCTTTGAAACTACGACTTTACTAACACTTGACTTCGCTGACTTAGCTTTATAAGCAACTACAGAAAATTACAATCTAAATGGAAAAAAAAACAAACTTAGTACTTCCATTGAGTTAGCTAAACCGGGTGTCGGTTCTCCCATAAACCACAATATGACCTCAGCATGACAGCTAAAAGCAGCTAGCTAACCTACCCATACATTTAGCTCAGTATGGCTAATATGTTCTTGCTAGCTACCTAAATATTAATGGATAAGTTTGCGATAACTTAAATGAACATGAACCGGGGGTGTTTCTGCTTAGATTAAACATCTTAAACATTCGTGTCAAAACGTGAGACCAACCCATCACATCTGGCATTGCTTTTAACTTTAATACAGACTGCAGCAAAGACTTGTGAAGGGAAGTGTCATACTGTCCTTGGCTCACAATGTTACGGCCTGTCCGCGGCCTACAGCAGCGAGCTGGCTAACGCTAATGCTAGCTCTGACTGAGATGAGCCCGTACCGCCGCAGCGACAGCAAGGAGTCGGCCAAACGTTTGATCTGCTTGTTGCCTACCTGGCGGATGGCAGAGAGGGAACGGCCGAAATTCCTGGTGAGACACCGGGAATGGGATAACATGGTGGCTGTGTGACAGCAGCCTGTCAGCGGAAGGGAAACTCCGGTCACACCGACAAGCTAGGCACGAGCAAGTACCGAGGAAGTACTGTGGGACAAACCAAGTGCACCGATTGGAAGGGGGTGGGGCGGGGGGAGACATCACCGTGGTGTGATCCCCTCTGACCCCCTCTATCCTTCGCACTACTGTGAGTACTGACCACTGAGAATCTACAAATAACATTCAGCCACCTTTACAAATACAGTAGCTTACAGGTAACAACATAAACACATAGAGTAGAATAGAATAGAATAAAATAGAATGCCTGCATATAACTATATAAAACATAGGATAGAATAAAATAGAATAGAATAGAAATGAATAGAATAGAGGTAGGATAATGCCTGCATATAACTACATAAAACATAGAATAGAATAGAATAGAATAGAATAGACTTTGAGAACAACTTTTTCAATTGACAAAGCTAATCTTTGAGTAGGCTATTACCTTCGATTATGCTGTAAATTGTAGCTACAGAGAATTATTTATTTTATTTTATTTCATTTACTTTTTTATTCATTATTCAACTTTTATGTTTTATTTTATATTTTTAATATATATTTTTAAATTATTAATTCGACTTATTTTCAAGTTGTTTTTCACTCCTTTCTTCTTTTGTGTTTTGGCGTGCTTTATGTCTGAGCAACCTCTGGGAGCAAAGGAAGTATGGATGGAAGAGGAGCAATAGATAATGTTAAATGCTGACCGAGTTGTTGTTTCCCAGTTCTATACTAATATTAGCGCAGAATTACTGGGCCATGAATATTAATGCATATTTCCAGATTGCCTGAAGCATCATTATTTCTTGTAATTCCGTCAGTGGGCTTCAAATCTATCAGTTATGAAACCACTGTGAGTAGGTGATCAAACCAGCACCTTACGAATACTTTCCTCCTGACATTATATTGGTGATAATCCTGTTACCATCTCGTTGCTTTCACATGGCCACGCCCCAGCTCTGTTTGAAACACCGACTCTCCTGCACTCTGACTGTCCAACTCAGTGTGCGCAGGCCATCCGCTCGGAAGCACGTCCCAGCGCAACAGGTAAGGTCCCATCATCAGCATCATCATCATCATCATCATCATCATCATCACTGCCGCTTACTCTGTCTGTGTGGGTTATAGCTACTGCAGCCCCATATGAGTGGGACAAAGGGCATGTCTGCATATCACTGCGTTTCAAAACTCATCACTTCAGTTTAGTGGGTTTTCATGAGAGAGATTTGCGCTGGGTGTTTCTCAGACTCTCACGCATGCTTTCACTGCTCGCCTGACAGCTATAATCACATTGGGTGAGTTTTTAATCGAGTTATCTAGTGTTTAATGACTGTTTATTGAATGTTTCAGGTTTTTATAAATCATAAAATAATTGGTTTGCTCATTTGGGATTATGTGTACCTTTTTATTTAGGATAAACGTAGACAATTAAAACACTCTTCACTTAATTAGTTTAAAATATTTGAAATAAATTTGATCTGTAAATTTTATGTTCTTCTTCAGGCAGTGGTTATCAGCTAATTCACAATCCACAAAGCAGTAGGTGTACATACTGTTGTATTGCAGGAAATCTTCAAACTGTAAAGAGTAAAGAAAACCAAATAACTCCTACTGTCCACAAATTATATGAGGTTTCGATGATCTTAAACTTTGCATAGAGATAACTTATTCAACTTCTTTTTAAATATGCTCCTAAAGCTTTGGTCTTTCTGTTGCTTATTTATAATAAAAGTAGGAAATAGAAACATAAGTGGGACTTCTTAAGTTGTGTAAATTACTGATATGGAATCCATCGTTTAATGTATGGAAATAAATTAGCCTCTGTTCTTCTAAAGTCCATCTATTCCACTTGTAAGTACAGATAATTAATTTTTGCTATAGCACAAATATATTTGAAAATACACACTTAAAGGGAAGGAAGCCAGTGACCACAGAATCAGGCAATTGAGCTTTTGCTCTTGATTATTCCTCAAGATGAAAACCATGAAGTATAAAGAGGTTTTCATAATATTTTCTCTTGTAAATTATGTATACACACAGAGCCGTTTCTCGTGCGTGGAATATGGCTTTCATGAGCTGAAATTTACCTTTCATGGGTATAACACAATTGTTCTTTTTATCCTTTGTGTTAACTGTTATTACAACCCCAAGATGAAATGAAAATGAAAGAGAAAAGAATGCACTCTCTTATTGCTTAAGATCAAGGATTTATTTATTGTATTTATTTATTTATTTATTTTAACAGAACTGAGGATCTTGAAAATAATGCAGACGTGTTTGATTTTGTATCATATGTAACAGTGGTATTACATTTGCTTGTTAATGTAGTAATTCTAAATTAAAATCACAAGTTTTACAAACAAAATGGCAGAATTACCTGTGAAGGTTGTATCTAATAGTGTTAATGATGTGCTCAAATTAATCTTCCTTATTTTACTTGAATGCCACTGTTCAAAAACAGGCACAAGACACAAAAACATTAAGATGCTTTTTTTCACTTTAACATGTAAAAGATACAATAAGCAATATAAAATTATGACACATATAGGATTAAAAAACAAGGGCTATATTTTATCTTGTTTTCTAAAATGTGTTTTTTTTTTAATTGTTTATTATCTTAACAGTTAAATTTGTCTGTCTTTTCAGATTCTTGCATTTCACTGAACTCAGATTCATCACCGTGTGGAGCTGAAGCCCTAGTGAGCATGAACCTCAGTCTTCCTGACCAGAACATGCACAACTCTAGTGAAGGCTGCATAGAGGACGACAAGCCTGATGTCATGCTCCCTTGCTTCCGCAGAAACATGTATGACGAGCCTCTGGCCTCATACTCCAACGGGTCCATCATCTCTCAACTCCTCCGCAAGACAATCCACAGCAAGAGGGCACTAGATGAAAACCATTTCTACCTTTCTAGCTCCACTGCCGCTGACTCTGGCCAGGAGGACCAGAGCAGTGTCTCCTCAAAGGACAGCACAGTGGAGGCTGCCTCCCCCAGCGGTCACATCTCTGCAGGAACCAGCCCGGATGGAGAGCATCCCATGACTGACCACCTGCAGGCCAAGAGGGCCAGGGTGGAGAACATCATCAGGGTCATGGCTGGCTCTCCCAACGGCAAGCAGCATGGAGACAGTGAGAGGTCTGACACAGAGGCCAGAGACACCAGGGAGGCCAGGGAGGCATACAGGGAGAACAAACGCAAACAGAGGTTGCCACAGCATCAGGAACACAGCGTCGGAGGACCAGCGAGCAGAAGACCTGGAAGCAGCAATAGTGAGAGCTGTAGCACCAAGGACGAGGAGTGTCACAAGTTGAAAGAGCAGCTCCACAGCATGCAAAGGCTTCTGCGTCAGCTCCAGGAAAAGTTCCTTCAAGTTTACAACCAGGATGATCCTGAGCACAACGACAGAGATGAGACAGAAATAGCTGTTGAGCACGACACCCTGGCAGAAAGCACAGAGTCACGCTACATAAGCGCTGAAGATGATTTTGAGAGGAAGAACAGCAGGGTGTCTGCAGAGTGTAAGGACAGAATGAAAGTAGTTGGTTATCTGGTGCACCAAAGAGAAAGTCAGAACCTACAGGAAACCCTGAAGCAGGAGCTCTCCCGGGCTGTTAATGAGTGTGTGGACAGGGTGTTCAAGAAGGTGTCTTCCACAGGGCTGGACCTGTCCCCTCAGCCGTGCATGTGCTCATCTCCAGACATGCAGATGAGCGTTGGTGCAGACAGGAAGAGCCAGCAGGCCGGCTCCACCCAGGAGCAGCCCCAGTCTGAGGAGGCTGCACTCAAACCCCGCGCTTTGGAGTTCTATGAAAGCTCTGAGGCTCAAAGCCCACAGGACCAGACGGAGGCACTGTCACTGGTGGTCCGCAAGCCGACAGTGACCCCACTGAGCTCAGTCACCCCAACAGTGAAGAGGCCCTATCCTGTGCACCAGACACCATTTCAGTTCAATTACAGCACGCCTCTGCACGACAGCCAGATCCTAGAGCACCTTCTCAAGTATGGGCCACATTCCAACTTTGGGGGTCTGCCTTGCATGCCCCCATCAATGGACAGGACCTCCCCAGACTCAGTAGACCTGCCCTGGGACACCATCACCATGAGGTCCAAGGTGACATCCAGCCACCTCAGCCACCACCCTCGTCCCTCCACCCTGGGGGCAGTGACGGTCGACAATCTGTGTCTCCCTCACGTCAAGATCGAGTGTGGTGATCTGCAGAGCATGGCCGAACGAAACCCCTACATGTCTCTCAACATATCCTTTCACATAAATGATATAGTCTGAGCCAAAGTGGCTTTGCCTCTTTGCTTTTTTTTTGATGTAAAAAAAAAAAAAAGAAGAAATTACCAACACTCTGCTGTCGTGGTTAAAATGAACAACTAGCTTGTTTATTATTGTTGTTAAAAATTGAAGATAATACTCAGACTCCCATATTTGTAGGCTGAAGGTGCAGTGATGAAAAATCCTGTAACTTCACCATAAAAATATAAAACGGCTAATAATGAATGACTGCATTTTATTTTATTTTTCTTACCCTAAGATTTAACAAAGACAACATCCACAGACCTACAATATATGCATGAAAATACTAATGTCAAAACATCACAATTAAAATCATGGTATGTTTGATAATATCTTTTATATATATGTACGTATATATATATATATGTACATATATACTGTATGTACTGTATGTACCTTTTATTTTATACAATCTCCCTATATTCAGCTCTTCCATTTGAACAATGGTTGAGGTTCATTGCAGCATGGGCAGTTCCAGTAACAAACTTCAAGGAGAATTTTTTCTTTGATCTCGCTAACCCCATAGAAAATTATAGCATCTTCTTTAATCTGAGCAGAGTAATGACTTTAAGTCTAGAAAAAGACAAATAAAAAGGAATACAAGGCTTTGATAAGAATTGCCAGGAACAAAAGCCAATTTTTCAAAGGCAGAGAAAGCATCGGTTTCTGTTTCAGGAAGCGTCGTTTTTTCAGACTTGAAAAGGTGCAGGATCTATTTCTCCATCATCAGAGTGATAGGGGTGCATCTAAAAGGTCACATCTGAGTGCTGGTGGAAAACACAAGTGCCTCCCAACCACAACACTTGAGCTCTTGTCTTGAGCATTTGTTGTTGGAAACCTTTGTCAGAATGTGCATGATTAAAATAGAGTGCAAGATAACAGTGTTTTTTTGCCTCAAAGAAAATCAACCGCAAGACAAGTTGTTCTATTCAGGGAAAAAACTGTCCATTGAAAAGTTAAACATTTTTTAAGTTCCATGTTTGCTGATGTCCACGATCAGTATGATTAAAATAATATCTAAATTTAATCATTCCTACAAGTAAATTGAAATAAATCATTTCTCTACTCCTCGCTGATTATAAAGTAAACAATCTTAAAAAAGATCCTAAAATTTGAGTTCAGTTTTGTTGATTCTCTTGACGCGAAGCATTAGAGAGGGTTTGCTTTATCTTTACAGTGCAAAGAGATCTGCTTCTCTTTGAACAATGCCACATAAATCTTTCATTTCAACTTCCTTATTTCAAAGGTAGGGTTCCCTAATACATGGATGGTGTGGTGACCTGATAAGGAAATATTATGACCTAAGGCATGGTGGTGGACTACAGAGGAAACGCTCCTGAGCATCTTCATTGCCATGGGGGGAAAACTTGAGAAAGAATTGCATGTATTAATATTTGCAATAAAGTAATATATAGTATGTGAAGTAATGGTAAATGGATAGTTTTTTTTTTTGTTTTTTTTTTACACCATTTAAAATATTTTAAATATACCACATGGAACTATATAAATTTATATTATCTGAAATGTTTTACTTTTTTATGACTGAATTTGACATTGTTTCAGGGTTTTTCTGAAGAAAAAATATAAAGCAACATATGTCGTCTTTAAATCAACTTAATTATATCAGAAAATCAGCTCCTTTTTTCACAACATTTCAAAACAAGCTGTCTTAACTGCCAGGCATGAAGTGCTTCGCTCTCTAATTAAAAATCCCTAATCTAATTCGTAATTCTGTTTTGCCAATAAGCACATGTTAGGGTCATTATTGACTCCCTGGTTAATGCCAAGCTGTTCTTTAGCGAAATTCAATTTAGCTGAAGATTGAGGCAACACAATACTCTGGTCTACTATCACTTTGCACAGGACTGTATGCTGTGCGTTATATTTGATTGTCAGTTTTTTCCACCTTAACCTAAATGTGAACATCCAGGAGGGTCTCACCCCGAGCCATCTGAAGAAGGCAAAGCTCATGTTCTTCTACACCCGCTACCCAAGCTCCAATGTGCTGAAAACTTTCTTCCCTGATGTCAAGGTAATTTTATTTTTTGCATATAAAAAAAATTACTTTTTACTTATAATGTCAAACAAGCAGCAAATTTGTTTGTCCTGCGTTTAACTCCCCGGTATCTACTTGTCAGTGTGTGTTTGGGACAGAAAAATCAGCAGTGTGTCGGAGGAGAGAAACAAAAACGCAGAGGGTTTAAATAACAAAGCCACTGAGCTGCTAGTATGTCCTGGGGGCAGAGGGAGATACAGGGGCATTCTCTCTTTAAAAAAGCCACTCCAGTCAGCAAATGGAGTGACAAAGGACTCTGTAGGAAAGGCATTGCTATTGAGTGTCAACAGAGAGTTGGTATTAGAGACTTGTGCAGCAGCAACCAGGCGGTGGTGAGCTGGCCCTAAACACAACATCCTGTGTGTTTTGGCCTTGGTCTCGTGTCATGCCTCCTCTTCTGTCTCCTCCTTTTGTCTTCTCTCTTGTCTCCTTATCTGCATCCTGTTGTTAGCTCTTCTCATTCATTCATCCTATTTATCTCTTTCTCTCTTCCCTTTTACCATCCTATTTGTAGCACAAGCTCCCACTCATATCGTCTCTCCTGCCTCCCCTCCAATTTTCTCCAAAACACCTTCCCTCTCCTCTCCTATCTTGTCTCCTGGATCTGTCTGAGCCAGTTCGGGGGCCCCCGTCTCTCAATATGCTCTGACCCCCGGGGTCAGGGGGGAGGATGCTGTTGCTGCAGCCCTGCGAACGTCTCCTCCTTGCTTACAATCCTGTGGTGGGAAGTGGCACTGAACAAAAGACCACCTAATCCCAGTGTCTGATTCCATCCTATCAGCCTGAGTCAATGAGAGGGAAGCTTCCTTCTGTCCTTATGCTGCCGCTTTCTCACCCACCACACCAGAGAGAAGAAGCGTCTTTGATGCCTGCCCAGCCCTTAGGCATTTTTTTTTCCGTCTTTCTGGATGATGAGATAGAATAACACGACTAATGTCAAGACTGAGTTTAGAAATACAGAGCCCTGACAGATGTTTTTTCACCCCGCACATTGGTGGGAAAAGATCAGAGCAATTAATGTTGCGTGGAGTGACAGACCATTAGGTGGCATTTTGCCCTACAGGTACTAAATGCAGGTTCTCAGTCAATTATGGAAAAGGTTTCTAATGCAAAAGCATCAGAAAGACATTTGATTTTTAATTGAATAGCACAGAGATTAATATTTTTAAATTTCTCATTGAAGTCTCATATTGAATTCTGAAATTATATATTTCATTTCAAGCATGATCTAAGTTTTTATTTGCCTGCTTCACAGGGAAGACAAAAGCCAGGGATTCATTGTCTCGCTTAAAGAGACTTCAGCTGCACAGATGTTTGTCGGTTTAGGTTGCAGGTGTGGAACAATCCTTTTAACATGGGATAAAGTCACGTATACTATTTTCTCTCCATTTCCAGTTCAACCGCTGCATCACCTCTCAGCTGATCAAGTGGTTCAGCAACTTCAGGGAGTTCTACTACATCCAGATGGAAAAGTTTGCCCGCCAGGCCATTGTTGACGGCATCAGTGAAGTCAAGGACATTACAGTTAGCAGGGACTCAGAGCTGTTCCGGGCACTGAACATGCACTACAACAAAGCAAATGACTTCCATGTAAGTGTCATTCATTAGTCATCCCTCTTTTATGTTGCACTTTGTATTGTTTGATCATTCTAGCTGATTTTCTGCGTATGAGGTTTTGTTAAATAGGTAACTCCTCTCATACTGCACATACACAGCAACAGATATACAAGGTTTGCTTAAAAGGGAAGAACATATTTTCAGAAATGTTGGGAAATATGACATACATTTCCTGGCAGAGATTGAGAGGAGAAGATTGATAACACTCTCATGTCTGTCACTTCAGTGTGATGCCACAGCCAACAGTCAGTTAGCTTAGCTTAATACAAAGACTGGAAACAAGGGAAAACAGCTAGCCTGACTCTGTCCAAAGGTAACAAAATACACCTACCAGCACCTCTAAAGCTCACTAATTCATGCATTATATCTAACCCAGACAAAAACTTAGGTGTAAATTTGCAGTTTCATGGGTGTTATGGACTATTTCTTGGCTCTGAGCAGCTGCCAGACAACCAGTGGAGGCCAAGAACTAGCTTAACACCTAACCCCTTGTAAATGACCAGGCTAGCTGTTTCCTCCTTTTTTCCAGTCCTTATGCTAAGCTAAGTGAACCCTCTCATTCTTCTCAACTAACCACTCAAAAGTGAATAAGCACATTTCCCAAAATGTCAAACTATTCATTTAAAGAACTGGAGTTGACACATTCATCACAGTAGTTACTAACCTACTCAAGTATGTCAGACCTCCTGTCAGCCTACGCTGTGGTCACGTATGTCCATGTGCTGACCTGTGTGTCACACTGCACCTGTGGCTGGCCAGCCTTTACAGCCATTATCTAAACTCCAGAGTGATGCTTTATCAAACTGTGGGAAGAGGAAGCCGCAAAATCCCACTAAAACAACTCAGGATTAGAGGACCAGCACGCCTGAGCGAGACTGAGATTGCTACTGATGCGGAATGCTGAGAAAGACGCTGTGGATTCCGAGGGAGAAGGCCGTTTGGTGGGAAAGGGACGAGACCGTTTTCTTTACCTTGGGACCAAGACATTCCTTTCCCAGGGATGCTTTTGTGTCAGGAGATGAGGGGAAAGAAAAATAACTTATGCCAACAAATGTTGTGCTAACTGGCCAATGGATGGGAAACAAGGGCTGCAGGGCGGTTTTCTCCCAGCATCCCTTGCATCTATTCATTCACTGATGCGTTTTTATGGATCCTGCTCTTGTTATGGGCAACTCCCAAATTCTTATCCCTACTTTAACCACACCAAATCCTCACTTTAACACAGCTTTCTCCAAGTTTATACCTAAACTTACCCAACCAACCATAATCATTTTAATCCTCAGCTTCTTGCTGTAGTCCTGGTGGGATCCACGATTATGCTGTGTTGACTAGCTCTGCTGGGTAAAATCCCTGGGAAGAAAGCTCACCAGTAGTTAGTTTAGGTTCAAGAAAACAAGACTAGCTAATCAAAGAGGCCTCTAATTGAAAGTTAATGATTGCAGCATTGCATTTATTGTATGTGTGCAGAGAACAAAGAGATGCACTCCCTTTCATCAGTTTGAGTGTTTGAAGAATTGCACTACAGGTCTTCATTTCATATATTTTTGACTTTGAGACGGCTGAAGAGGGCTTCAGTATGTTTGTAACACATCAAGTGATTTTTTTTTTCAAATAGAATAAGGTTCTAACTAGATTGACTTCATTTCTAAATCTCTACATTTTCTTTCTTTTCCAGGTTCCTGACAGATTCCTGGAGGTTGCTGAAATCACCTTGCATGAGTTTTACAATGCCATATCTTCAGCCAAAGATTCAGACCCCTCATGGAAAAAGGCCATATACAAGGTGATCTGTAAACTGGACAGCGATGTCCCGGAAGAGTTCAAGACATCTTCCTATTTATAGGCATGAGTGGAGAAATGTACAGGTGAAGGAGTTGGCGATTTTTGAAGTTAGTCCCTCGACAGTATTAATTCATCATTTATTGTAGTGCATTTTTTTTTTAGTGAGGTGAAATGTAGATGTTGGCTAAATAATTATTCTGTAAATCTGTAAGAAAAAAACACACACACACACACACACACACACACACACACACACACACACACACACACACACACACACACACACACACACACACACACACACAACAACACCATCTTAAAAGTTAAGAATTTATAGCCTGACATATTGTGTTCTACTTTTATCAAAAAGCAACTATTGATTATTATTAATGCTCTTGTGGTTTATTTTATTGTTTAGTATTTACTCTTATATAATCTGCCTCAACACATTTAGAGAGTTACTGAGTTTGTGGGTGTGTAAATTGTTTACAAAGACGTAATCACTTATAGTGTAGCCTTATTTAGCCAAACTGGAAGAGATTTTTTTTTTTGGGCATTTATCGTCAGTATTAGTCATCTTTTTAATTCCATTTGTTTTCATAGCTGTGTGTGTTGTGTAATTGTACAAGCGCTGCTGTTGTATGTTGCATAATGTTCTATAAATTTGTTGTAAACTATTCGCTTGACAGAATGTGCATGTGAAAATAATGCAAGTGACTGTGAGTGAGTTTCCTTATGTATAAAAGTCATGTAAAGAACAATCATTTTCAGATATTTCAGTCACAAACATTGTACTGGATGATTATTGAAATTAAAGATGCACTAAATTATAATATAAAACTAGTGTGTTATGGTTTTCCTTGGCAATAGTCACTACATGAATATACATTTTTTTATATTTATGAGAAACAAGACATCCCAGGTAAATGCTTTATTTCTGGTTGTAAATGTTTAACTCTGCCGTGAAAATACTGCGTCCCAGTGCTGAGCCCCTAAGGTGCCTCTAATCCACGTCCAGCAGCCAGCTGTTAAATGTCCCCCAAACTATGCTGTTCTCATTGTTCACCGAAGCCAATTCAAGTCAACTTTCTAAGGCCTGCATTCATTGTGTGGCCGTTGCGGATGCGGACAACTGCCATGTCTTAAAAACAGCCACAATGCATTCCCTCCTAATGACTAATGCCCGAGGTGACCTCATATCACAGTTGTGCCACCAAAGCAAAATTCCACAAACCCGTTGACTCTTTCTTCCAGGCACCCACTCAAAGCACACTACTCGCCAAAACACACACACGCGCACATATGCACACGCAAGTTTGGTGATGTCAGAAAAATCACAGATGGGATACTTTTGATGCCTTGGGCTTAATATAAACCAGACAATCAAAGCAGCGAATTAAATCCACTGTCAATTTCATCGTAGATGAGCATAGTAAATCATCAAAATATTAATCACATTGTCAGTACCATTATTGCAGGTGATTTTATTCCTGAAACTTTTACAAAAAACCTGCAATGTGCCTTTAAAATAAAGACTAATGATATGAATGCAGCATGCACAATAGCATGGACCACTTTTATAAAAGTACACTGTTTCTTGTCACTGTGTGAGATGACGTTGTCAGTGCCCAAAACCAAACATTTAATTGGAAAACCTGTTAGTCGCCCAAGCACCAATTACATCAGAAATGATAACATTAAGGAAATTAAAACATTAGTTGGATTGGTTGATGACAAAGACTGGAGACAATAAACCTCACTAATCTTTTAATAGACATTTCTTTTCAATTAGATCAGTCTTCTTCAGTAAATTGATTTATATTCTCAACTCAATTAAAATGCCTCTGGTTGAACCAAAGTGCTTTGCTCAAATTAATTTGTTGTGACATTTTCTGAACAAGACTTGGTAACCTCTGATATAATGAAAGAAAACAAAGAAAATACCTTCAGTTGTTTAACTGCCTCTGGCTGACAAGGCTTCAACTTAAACAGTACGATATGAAATTATGTTCTGTATTAGAGAGTCTCCGATAAAACAAAGCATGCTTCCTAATGAAGATGAAATGAAAAGTAAAAAGCAACAGGAGGACGTGATAAAATTAAAACAAAAAGCACTGTTTGATCAGATGCTCTGGGTTTTACATTTAATCACTTGGAAATACACTTACACATATATTTTACACATATGTTGTTGCAGCTGTTGTTTTGTCAGAGTCTCACATGAGAAAGAAACAAATAAAGAGAATTTCATCATCATCATCATCATCACCATCATCATCATCATCATCATCATTAGAGCCATTCGCTTGTAGTTCTTGGAGGTGGATGAGCCTCACAGAAAAGAGTAACAGCATCATCTAGTGAATCTCCGATGTAATACACGCAGCTCGGCCTGCCTCAGAGTCAACGGATTCATCTCTGACAGTGCAAGTACGATTTTCTTCAGTGTATACAATGTGTGTAAATTGTTATTTTTGCATTTTAGCCATTCACTAGCTTTCTTTTAAAATGAAATCCACTCTATAATTCAGTTTTTAAAGCCATTAAATATGCAACATCAGATTCTGCTGTGTACACAAATCTCCACACAGGGGTGCACTTGTCACTGTATACTGAACTGCTGCTCAGGGATTCTTCAAAACGGCTCAGTTTCTCCAAGACTCCTGGGAAGTGGACACTGTGAAATCTTGTCAACATCATGTTTTGTACATTTGTGAGTTAGGAAAGCTTGGCTGATTGTGCACAGTCACTGTGTGTGTGTGTGTGTGTGTGTGTGTGTGTGTGTGTGTGTGTGTGTGTGTGTGTGTGTGTGTGGTATGATATTAATGAGGGAAAAAAAATGAGCTGGTGTCTCCTTAGCAGGGTCCTGGAAAGACAAAGGCAGGATCAAACACCCCTGAGCTGGAGACAAAAGGAGCTGTGGGACTGGGGGCACTGGGACGGTCTCTGTGTTTAATCTCCTGCTCATAGATACCGGCGTTATGCCAAGCTTACTCTGGGAGGGCGCTGGGAGCAAAAGGGAGTGCAACTTGAGAATGGAGGCCGCTGACTTTAGGCTGCCCTTCAGACAACCACTTCTTGGTGTAGTTTGGTGTGATCACCAGTAAATCTTTATTAATTTTAATTGGAGCCCCCATTTAAAAGAGCAATTAAAGCGGATTAATCGAGCCCATCCCGTATAATGTCTTCTGTTAATTAGTTTGTCAGCACTGTTTTAATATCGCTTAATGACTTCATATTTCAGGGATGACATTAAAGGGATGCTGAAGGAAAAGAAATGGCCTTATCACAATGCGCTGCTTTAATGGGAGATGTCCCCCGCCAGCGGGCAAGGTCAGGCCTGGGGCCGCTGGGGAGGAAGAGGCTTCAGGGTGGCACCAAGGCAGCCACCTCCAGGGATACGCTGCCTCACACACACGCTACCACACTGTTACACACACAGTCTCTCTCATTCACTCATACACAGATCACTGAGGAAGAGGGCTACATCGAGAACTGTGCATGTCATGTTTGTTAGATTCCGTTATATTTCAGTCACAATGTGAATCAGATTCTGATGTTTTAGTTGAAAAGGTAAACTCAAAGATTGTATGGTGAGAGTTGGTGGGTGAGGTTAGAAGTTGAGTAGCAGCATGTAGTTTTTCTTTTACAGACAGGGAAGAGATGAAAATGATGTAACTCAAAACTTTCAGGTCAGACTCCCAGATTGCACTGGAGGAAAACATCAGGATGCTGCATACCATTCAAATCATAAGAGCTCCTTTATCTTCACATCTACAATGAATGACTTCTAGAGCTTCCCAAAGTGGGTGCTGTGGTACCTCAAGGACAAGTCAAGGGTGCCATAAGATTTTTTTGATTCATATTTTTTAATATTGTAGAGGTGGATTACTTGTAGGTGATATCATATTCAACTTCACAATCAGTGGCATTAGCATCGGTGGTTCTGTCTTTCCTAACTGTGTGAGTTGGTTTCCAGGCAGACATCAAAAACAAGGCAAGGAATCAACTGTCTGTGTCAAAGTCAGACATGACATGTTGCTCTGTCTTTGATATCTCCCCTTTAGTTTTTAGTATTAGTTTCTAACGATTATCTGCATATCTGTAGACTATAAAACTGCTAACTTCTTTTCATTACATGATTGTGCATAGGCTTATATCATTTGACTTGGTTGATATACACTGCATATATATTTTTCATCAGTTTTGTTTGTTTCATTTTTTAAAAAATCCTTAAATGTTTGATGGAAGCATTGGCAAGCTATAAATGCTCCACTGGTGGACACAAAGTTCAGCCCCTTCTTTAAACAGACATTTGCTATACTGTAACAGTGCCTTACATGTTTAGCCTGTGATGCTCCTCTCACAGTGACACTGAGCCAAAGGTGGCCAGGCAGCAAGAAGTTGATAAAAACCAACAGCACATCCTCCTTATTGCAGCCTTGGCTGGCGTGCATCCCTGCTAATTTGAGTGTGCCCTCGCACCTCCACTCTCCTCAGCAGATTCATAAATCTCATTCCCATTATCCCGCTAATTAGCCGGGATTACAGGAGCATGTAATGCCCCCGCTTCCCAATAGATTGATTGGAGGACGGTCTCTTTGTTTTGAAATCACTTCCTGATTGATGTACAGAGCCCTAGTTTGCAATTGTAATGGCCCAGATGTTAACAATCAAATGTGTTTCCGCTCCAGGAAGTAACAGTCTGTCATGGAAGAGGAGCCAGCCGAGCGTGTAACGACACATCACAGGAGTGTGGGGAAAGAGGGACTGCAGAGGAGGGGATGGGAGGGGGGGGGGGGGGGGGGGGGGGGGGGGGGTTAGGTACAGGAGCCCTTGTCTTGAAATGCTGCTGAGAGAGGGCATAATGTCTAAGTCTATGCCTCAAGCTGAACTGTATCTAAGCTCTGTGTTTCTGGAGGCTTTTGCATTTTATATTGGCTTTTCTGATGCTTTATTGATGGATCAGACTTTTATTTTTATTAATGGAATTTTGCCCCCTAATTCTTTCCTTTTTCTTCAGGTTGGTCATTGTAATTAAAGAGGTCCATTTTAAAAGGC